CCTGTTCCCCGTGCCCGTGCTCACCGGCATCACCGTCGCCTGCGTCCTGCTCTTCGTCATCGGGATCGTCGGCAACCTCATGACCATGCTGGTGGTGTCGCGGTTCCGGGACATGAGGACCACCACCAACTTCTACCTGTCCAGCATGGCCTTTTCCGACCTGCTCATCTTCCTCTGCATGCCCCTGGACCTCTTCCGCCTCTGGCAGTACCGGCCCTGGAACTTTGGGGACCTCCTCTGCAAGCTCTTCCAGTTCATCAGCGAGAGCTGCACCTACTCCACCATCCTCAACATCACGGCGCTCAGCGTGGAGCGGTACGTCGCCATCTGCTTCCCCCTCCGAGCTAAAGTCATCATCACCAAGGGGAAGGTCAAGCTGGTCATCCTCTTCCTCTGGGCTGTCTCCTTCGTTAGCGCCGGACCCATCTTCATCCTGGTGGGGGTCGAGCACGAGAACGGCACGAACCCCCTGAGCACCAATGAGTGTCGAGCCACCGAGTATGCCATCCGCTCGGGGCTCCTCACCATCATGGTCTGGATCTCCAGCATCTTCTTTTTCCTGCCCGTGTTCTGCCTGACTGTGCTGTACAGCCTCATCGGGAGGAAGCTCTGGAGGAGGAAGAGAAAGAACATCGGTCTAAACACCGTCATCAGGGACAAGAACAACAAGCAAACTGTGAAAATGTTAGGTACGAGTCTTCTTGCTCTGTTTTTCCAAAGGGTGTGTGTGCTGGTGCGTGTGTGAAAGAGAGAAACTGAGAGCTCTCTGGTAGTTTACTATAGTTGCTTCCAAAGGAAAGCATTTATGAAAAATGTTTCATGCAAAGGGATAGAACTCCAGGAATCCGTAGAGTAACTCTCCTCCTCCTTTAGATTTATTTCTAACTGATTTGAGCTGGGGACTCCCAAACAGTTAAACAAACATTAATAACAATCCCTGACAAGGACAAATACTACAGTTATAATTAGCTTGTGCCCTGGAGATTTTTGAGAATTTTTGCTCTTTGGTTGTGGATACCGATGTTATTTACAGAAGAACAGTTTATTTGATTTTTAAACAGAGCTAAACCCTTCTGAAACCATGAAGTCGAGCTGCAGACTAAGTAGGCAGGGCATGATGTGCACTTGAAGATTTATATGAAAAGAGTATCAAGGTTTTAGCAAATTGGGATTATTTCCTACCATGGCTGTATAAGCTTAAGAAAATTAATCTGAATTTTTACATTAGCAAAACACCAGGATGTGTGCTGAACCCAGAGCCTTGTGTCTCCTTTGAGGTCTGTGGTGCTGTAAAATCTCACTGACTGTAAAAAAACAGTTGTAAAAAAACGATCAAGACAACAGACACTGTTGTGCCTAACTCTGTATATTGACATTGCTGAATGTTTTAAAAAACAGCAGTTCTGGCTGGCACATGGAAACACAGATTTTTAACGTACTAAGTCAGTGCATGTGGTGGGAGTTTGATGAACAAAAGCAAAAAAGTTGTTCTGAAAACTGCAGAATCCTGCTGCCTCTGCGTACTTTTATTCAAGCCAAAAGTCCTCCGCAGTGCAAGTCATCCCGTGGATTTCAGGAGGGATGAAATGCTCTGCAGGAAGAAGGTTTCATGGGCAGCAGCTCTGCTGTGCTGGTTTCAGTGGGGTTGAAGTGGTGGGCTAATGAGCCAGACAAGAAGTGGCAGTGAGTCCTAAGGACTTTAATTATCAAACGGGAGCCTAACTGATTTTTTGTTCACATCCTAATTTATTACTATGCGATAGCAGGAAGAATAATAGAACCCACAGCATTCTTTGTGCCCTTTCAACTACATTTTATGATCAATAGAATTACTTCAGTCTGCTAAGTGTGCCCTTGGAAGTAATTAATCATTTACACTCCTGAGGTTCAGGATTATGAATCTCCACTTACTATAAGTAAATTACACTTACTACTACTGTGTTTATATTTCCATATACTTAACCATAAAGATCTTGAAATAATTACAACTGTTTATTCCTACCCTGAAGTATTGCCACAAGCATTGCAATATTTCAGTCACCTTTTTTTCCTTTTACAAGGTCTGAGAACAGCAAGCAGTGGCAAGACTGTCCTCTGACAGAGAGCCAATATTCCCTAAATGATAACAGTCTGATGCCTGATGGAAAGATGGAAAGAAGTTAGTGAAGGCTCAGTAGCAGCAGATGCTCATTGCAGTCTAATCTCACTGGTGTTAATGTTCTGCTTAAAATTTAGAAGGCACTTTCTAAGCCTTTAGCAAGTCATGGAACATCAAGAAAATGGGATTAGCATAAACACTTTTAAACTGTAGAGAAAGGTTATGCTTGTGGGTCTGCAATTAAACACCTAAATGTATAGCCCAGCTTGCAAAGGAGCTATCATATCCCATTCCTATTGAAATCCATGGGATTCTTTCTGCATGAATGAAGATCAAACTGTGAAAGCCTGACTAGGCATATGGCAAGCCTACAACATGTGCTTAAAATTCTACTCGTAATAGACTGTGCTTAAAACACTCTTCGTAACGACCATCACGGTAACATTCATTACATGGATTGAAGTCCTCAAGTGAGCTAGGGAAACATGAGAACACAAGGCCAGGTTGGACAGGGCTTGGAGCAACCTGGTCTAGTGGAAGGTGTCCCTGCCCATGGCAAGGGGTTGGAATGAGATGATCTTTAAGATCCCTTCCAACCCAAATCATTCTGTGAACTCTATGAACAGGTTAACTGTAAAAACTGTCAAAAACCCTTGCCCGAGTTTTCTGGTTTTTATCTCTTTAGTATATTAATAGATACACTCAAAGAAACATGAAAAATAATAAAGGTCAAAGGCACACAGGAAATGAACAGAAAAAGTTTCCCTTTCTCTTGGATGAAAATTCAAATGGGCCACTCTTCAGAGACAAACACATTCCTATCACTCTACAGACATATTCACATGTAAATGCAACCACGGTGGTAGTGTTATATTACAGATACACTGTATAACTATAATTATGCAGTTATATACTATATATTTAGTTTTACTCTTCTCAGAAGTAACTCATGTTCTAAAAAATGGACAAACTGGAGGGGTACACCACTCTCTTGTTCTTACCTTAGCACACGTGCTCTACAAGTCCACATTCTGGTGGGTTGTTTTGTTTTGAGGCCTTTGCCTTAAACAATTTTGCTTTGCCTTAAATAATTTTGCTTCCCAGTGATTACATTCTTCATTATAAACCACAGTGTTGAGTCTATCACATATCATTTGCTTTTGTTAAACACTGTGGATGATAGACTGTTAAGCTTTTTGTTGTCACCATTCGGATTCTTTAATTCTCTGTTGATGCAAATATAAGTATTACAGGTCAGAAGTTTGCTACATCAGATGAGCTGGGCAATATTCAGGCAGCCTGTTTAGATATGATCAATGTGTATTAAGTATCACTAATTTATACTCCCAGAGAATGTATTGAGAGACACACAACTAAAAGCTTAGGGGATGTATTTTCACACTTTGTGACTAATTTGCTAAAGGAATAGAACTGTAAAAGAGAATGTTAATGACCTATTTATTAATACTCACACTTAACACAATTTCTTCTGCTGTTTTTATTTTAGTTGTGGTGGTATTTGCTTTCATACTCTGCTGGTTGCCTTTTCACGTAGGACGATATTTATTTTCCAAATCCTTTGAAGCTGGATCCTGGGAGATAGCAGTGATCAGCCAGTACTGCAACCTGGTGTCCTTTGTCCTCTTCTACCTTAGTGCAGCCATCAACCCCATCCTCTACAACATCATGTCCAAGAAGTACCGCGTGGCCGCCTGCCGCCTGTTCGGACTCAAACCCCTCCCAAGGAAAAGACTCTCCAGCACAAAGCAGGAAAGTTCCCGTGTGTGGACAGAGTCGAGTGTCATCACATGACACATGGTTTCCAGGGCTGGTGCATCACTCACTGCATTTCCCAGAAAGCCATAACAGAAGGGAAAGAGGGCAAGAAACGGGAATCGGAATGTTAAAGCCGTACTTTTGTCATCGTCCGGATCTGCTGAAAGATGTAATGCAGGCAGTTAAAGATTCAAGAAAACAACAAGCTAAACTTTGAGACTATAAAAGGAGACAAAATGGTCACAGAATTTGGAAACACTCAAGTATAATTTGTCTGCTGCTTTTGCCCATATGAATTTTTAATGCTGACTTTAGCCCAGATCTAGGCTTGTGCCCTCCTGACCAAGCAAATGTGGCCCACTTGTACAACTTCAGTAGCAGCTAATTCGAGCTGAATGTTTCCAGAGTTAGCTTTAGTTTTGCTAAGAATTTTGCTACCATATAACCAGACCCTAGAGAGAGAAAACTGAATTGCCTTTTTGGAGTAGTAAACGTGAAATTTGATACACTTTTCATAATCTTGATTTTTAAATAAGCTCACGTTTTTCTCAGAAGGAGGAAATGATTTCTTAAAAACAAAAAAAGAGAGGTAAAATGGGTAATTTTTACACATGCTAAAAATAAATGACCTTCATGTCACGTCCAAGTAGAAAGGAAACAAAAGATGCCTTCAAAGAAGTGGCTTACAACATGACTGTACTGAAATATTTTTTTAAAATATATATCAGTGGGACAAGGACAGGGCTGACTTCAGGACTGCGGTGATGCTATAAAAATGTGGAATGCAATCTCCCACCAAAGTCTCTCTTTTTTTTTATACTAGCTAAATCATCTGTACTTGTTTTGTTCAGTGTGACTGTGAGTGACACAATGTGGTTGAACTTGGAAGCTTTTAGTTGTATTTATTTGGTATTTGTAACAAGTTTGCGGCTACCCGTCCCTAACTGTGCCCATCCATACCCCAAGCTTTGCTGAGGACAGGTCTCCTGCTTGTAAACCCCCTCCACATTTCTGTTTGAAGTCTATTAGCCAGTTCCCAGTCCCACATCCCCCCGTAAAGCCCAGTGTGCAATTGTACTCGTTTGCTGCAGTATTGAATTGAGAACATTTTACATTTTTTAACCAACGTGACCTGAGAAAATAATAGAAAAATCTGCATTATAGACACAGGCAGACACATTCTCATGCTTGATTCATAAAAATCTTAAATTAGATTTAAGTATGCCATTTCAAGGCACACCAGAAAATGTTCCATCCGCTGTGCTAATAAATATGTCTTATATTGTCTCACCAACACGTGGATTTTGTGCTCCAGCTCATAGAGCTTCAGAGCATGCATGTGTGGTAGCAGCTTTCTGTTCACTTGGTTCTAGTATTCACTCTCCATAATGAATTTAAGTTCTCCTTAATGAATTTGCTGTTAGCAGAAGCTTTCCTGCCTTCAAACCCTCGTTCACACTGGGCCACTTTACACCTGTTACACCTCTAGCTGGCGGTGCTGCTCAGGTAAAACTCACAAGAGAATTTGGCCTCTTCTCTACATACCACATCCTTCCTAGCACCTGGCACTTTGCTGGGGTCAGGGGCTGGTTGCTGCTCCTTGGTGGGACCTGAGCCTGTGCCCTCCCCACTCCACGCTCGCAGGAGCACAGGTTTGATGTACACACACTACACATTAAGGTACTGCAGAGTTATGGGATCATCTCTCACTTCGCCTCTAACCACATCCACCTCACAGCCCATTTTGTTCTCTCACTCGTTGACTGACAAGCAGATCTGATGGCAAATGTCATGCAACTCAGGGAAACAAGACACTGGGGAATCTCAAAAGGATTGTGAAGATGTGAGCTCACTAATGACCCGTCTGTGTAAACGAACCCATCACATGCACCCGGCATCACATCAGTGTTTCGAGTCTCAGCTGTGTCTGTGGTATTAAATGTGAACAGAAAAAGAAATAAAGTGATAAGACCCTTTATAACCCTACTGGCTCAGTGTTGGTGGAGGGTTTGGCATGATTCACACAGGTTGGAGGAGCTGGTCTCTGTTGGGTTGGCTCAGCACTGCCACACCTCCTCCTCACCCGTGGGAGCCCTGTGTAGACACACTTAATTTCTGCACGTAAACTACAAACACACTAATTACTTCATTTAGCCTGAACACTTCATCAGGAGAGACTGTAAATTTTAGCTATATACTGAAACACTGTGAAATTGCCACAACTTTGTGTATAGAATGAAATTTAAACATTTAACCTGGGGTCACAAAAGTCAGAAAGAAAGGGGCTGCTTCTTGGGAGGGAGGATGGGACTTCTTCCTTCCTTCTCACCAAGGAAATAGATTTGTTTCTGCAAGTTATTGGACATTTGGCCAAACCTAGAAAAATACATGCATTTTTATTAAAGAAGAGTAGCCACTTTCATATGACTCTTGCACAAGAAGGAAAATATTTCATATCTAGCAGGGAACACTTAAACATTTAACACACCCTGTAGCTGTCATGGCAAGACACCAGCCATTAGTTTTGCTTCCCTCAGTACTAAAACTTTTCTATATAGACATGCTAAAGCCAGTGGAGTAACACAAACATGCTGACTGCAGGTGGTGAATAGGGACCACTGCTTCAAACTGGTACCAGTGCAAAATAAACTGCTTTTATATGGAAAGCAAGGAAAAAAACCCAAAACCTGGATAACCTTCACTTTTGCAACATAAAATCAACTCTTGCCTGATGCCTCCAGAAAGATATACACATCCCCATCAGCACTGATGGATGAATCCAGCATTGCTTGTCTTGAGGGTTATTCATAGAATCACAGAACAGTTTGGGTTAAAAGGGACCTTTTAGTTCCGACCCCTGCCATGGGCAGGTTGCCACCCTCTAGACCAGGTTGCTCAGGGCCCCATCCAACCTGGGCTTGCCCAAGTTGTAAGAAATAACTTCACTGGAAAAAAAAAAAAGTGTGAGCAAGATTTCAAGAGCATTTTTTACTGAAGGACAGCGAAGTCAGGCCAAGATAGGTATCATCAATCTGTCTCAGGTAGTAACACAGGTAAAGGTTCCTCCTGCCTTGTGTCTGGCAGGTTGTACAGGGGCAGAGGGGATGCTGCAGGCAGAGAAGGCAGTGGCAAACAACCTGTGCTGGCAAAGCAGTGCTGGCACTGGTCTCATCTGTTCTCACCCACCACAGTTCTCAGCATGGACTGGCAAACACTTTCCAGCAGAGACAAAGCTTTTCTCCTCTACTTCCCAGGGTATTTCCACAGCACCTGATGTTCCTGGCATCTTTTCCCCAAAGCCCTCCCTACATGAAAGAGCACAGGTGTGCCCCCATCCTATTTAGGGTCTGGACATGGCTTTTGAGATCCATTTTTCATGCAGGGAAGACAAGAGCCCTTGCAGGCACAGGGCTGTTCATCAATGTGACAGACAGGGTAGCTCTGCAGGAAGAGTTCTTTCAGAATCTTCAACTTTCCATTTCTGGAAACTCTTCCTTGTCGGAACGAACTTTGCCAGTTTTGACTGCAAAAAACCAAAAACCATATAGAGATTTTAAGAGTCAAAATTTTGCTGTGTTCTTACTGACTTGTATGTCAGTAGCCCATAGAGAAAATAACTGGAGTTTCATTCATCAAACAGTTCCAGTTCTAAAAGCTTTCCTACCTCTACATTTTGTATCACAGCTTCACAAATAAACGAGAACAATTTGGCTGCATTTTATTTCTTGTGTTAAATTGATGATGAAACAGGTCGAAAGGACTTTACCAGAAATCTTCATTCATTTTAGAAAAGTACCTTTGATGGAGGCAGGCACAGACAGAAAATCATGTCCTATTGTATTTTTGCCAAAAATAAAATATACTGGAAAAATAGCACCTACATGTCAAAATTTGAGATGATCGATATTCAGCAGTTATGTAAGTTTGTGTCAAATGCCATTTGCATAAGCCCTATTTAAAGCAGCAATTGTTAGATACCTAAATACCCAGGAGAACCCCCTCTCTGCTATGGATTCTGCTGGTTTTGGGGTGCTGCTGCTCTGAGCCCAGTCCGTGTTTCCAGATGGGATTCCATATAGTTTGTATCCTTTGCAAAACCTTGTGGCTTTGAAGAGGTAAATTACATCTTGAGAAAAAAAAATTCAAATTTGGAACAAAAGAAATCCATCTAACTCATCTCCCAGTGATGTCTATGTTGTTTCTCCCCCACACCCTGAACTGCCCTCCTCCCACTGCAGCTGAGAGCCCAGTAAGTGGATTTCATTCTCACAACTCCTAATAAACAATACCAGCCAAATTTCACAAATTTTTAAACACTATTTGGGAAATAAGTAACCTCTGGCTGACACTGGAGCCTGCGGAGAGCTCAACCAGCGGGAGCTGAACACAGGAAACACTGGCTCTGCTTCCAGAGCCCTGCTTTGCAACCCAGCAGTCCCTAAAAACCAGAGAACATGTACCAGTGGCCAAGGCAACACCTCCACCTGCAGTGGGATTTGTATCTGCTCATGAATCCTGACACCAGGCCCTGGGCTTGTGCACACACAGGAGCTGCCTCAAAAATCCTCCAGGTGATCCAGATGGATGTATATCAACAGATGCCATTGCAGGAGTTGGCATGTCCTGGGACTATGCAGCACTTTACAGTTTTACACTATTTGCTGTCAGGCACGTGTAGCTGGAGTTACACGCTGCCCAGTAGAACTCCAGCAGCACTTGGAGAGCTGGAAGCTTGCAGGACATTAATGTGAATTGTATCTGCTCATTTAGGCAGCTCCATCACCCACCTAGGGCAGTGCTACACCCTTCTCCATCCCCACATCCCAGCCATCTCCTCCCACCTGTGCATTCCCACTTGATGTACCACAGCAGACTCCTTCCCAGCTCCACACACAGACCAGGAACTTCACAGGAGCAAAACAACTTCCTCTCACAGACATGCTTGCCAATGGCTTTTCACCCTGAAACATGATTTCTGGTGTGAAACAGGTAAAACCTCCAGGGGTTTAGGTTTGTGCCTCATGTCCCTGGCCAAACTTTAGCCCAAAGCAGTTTGTTAAATGATGGGGTCCCACTGTGCCAGCTCTATTAGATCATAAAACCAGTTTCTAGAGCCCTGGTTGCTGCTGTTTACAAAAAAACCAGAAAAGCAAATGTTAGGTCAGGATTTGTCTCTCACCTCTGAATTGTGATTATGCAAGTACAGCGGAAGAGGATGAAGAAAAGGACAAATTTAACCTGCCTTCTATTAATGCAGGTTTACAGGTTTCTGTAGTCAAGCCATAGTCCAGTTTTCATTCCAGCACACAATACAGTACATCAGCATTGCCCAATGTAACTGACACACTTGGTGGGCATTTAATAGGCTTTCTCAGTGCTCTTCCCAGCAGAAAGGTCTCCATTCCTTTCCAAGTCCAGCACTTGTGTGTTATGGCCCTTCCTGACCTCAGCTGCACTCTGACTGCATGCCCTGACTTCTACAATAAGAACAGAACTCAGAACCTCTCATTAACCCTAATACCTAGATCTCAAAAAGCACCTCTGCCTC